AGAAAGGAAGGAAATACTCAGAGAAGGATAGGGACAAGTCAAAAGAACTCAGAAGCCAACATGGAGGTGCTGCTACTGGCCAGATCTGAGACAGTTTGAGTAGCAAAGCAAATAATAATAGTAGTAAATTATAAACCTTTGAATAAAATTGGAACCCATAAACCATGCTGATAATAGATAAATAATAGATAGATAGTAGATGGACAGATGTATAAAAAGACAAAGCTTTTCCTTAGAGTAGAATGCTGACTATGAATTGTGGAAGGGATAATGGAAATAGAATTTGGCACCATCAGTGTGGTGGTAATTCCAGGTGGGAGTTTTCAGGAGAGGCTGAAGCTAGTGAATAGAGGAGGTTTGATAAGGAACCAAGTATGGATGTAATGCTGGACTCTCATCCCCAAAAATCCAACTGAACATCCTACTGGAGGGCAGAAATAGTGATGTTACAGTGTAAAAACCTGGCAGACCATAAAATCATGCCCCCTCATGTGCAGCTTAGAATAGCACAGCACCATTCCCTAGGGATTCCTGCCAAGAGAACATGACCCAAGACTGATCGTGAGGAAAGTCCCAGAGACCCAGTGGAAACGCAAAATCTGTACTATCTACAACTGTTGAGAACTGGAAAGACAAGGAAAGGCCAAGAAACTTCCAGATTGGGGGTAGGGAGAGGTTACCAAAAAAGACAGGAAAACAAAATTCCATGCATGTTTACTATGAAATGTTTGTAGCAGCTTTTATTACCCCAACTGGAAACAATCCAGATGTCTTTCCGCAGGTTGATTGGATAAACAAACCCGTGCAGCCACACAATGGAATCCCTTTCGGCAACAAAAAGAATAAACTATTGATGCAACAACAAGGCTAAGCACAGGAGACAGAAAGCCTGTGTACTGTCTGATATGTTTTTAACTTCTTTCTCTAGGGAAAGGTTGCTTTCATTATAAATATTTTCTCATTTGTGCAATGGAATTTCAGAATTGCTAATCCACACCCATGAGAAACAAATTTGCTTGAGTGCAATGTTTCTAGACAGTTTTTCTGGTTCTTAATTAGTAACTGTTTTTCCAAGTTACTTGGGTGGACTCCTTCTCCTGCACTCCCTTCAGAGTAGCTGTGCCCTTCATTTGTCATAGTGTGCACTCTTCCCTCGGTCCCCCTGACATTCTGATTGATTTTTTTTTCCCTTTGCATATGGTGAAAACTCCCTTAGTAATATGTATGCTATAGATTTTCACAAATGCATAGGTACGCATCCACCAATATGGGGCCACCCCCAGAATTGCCTTGGGGCCTGTAGTCAAACCTTTCCCCAGCCTCTACTTAGTGCCACTGGGTGTTTTTATTTGGGAGGGACAGGGAGTGTCAGGGATTAAACCCAGGGTGCTTAACCACTGAACCACATCCCTACTCCCTTTTTTTTTTTTTTTTTTTTTTTAAGACAGAGTCCTCCTGAATTGCTTAAGGCCTTGCTAAATTGTTGAGTCTGGCTTTGAACTCTTGATCTTCCTGCTTCAGGCTCCAGAGACACTGGGATTATAGGCGTGCAACACTATGCCGGGCCCCACTGAATTCTTAACCATCCTGCTAAGCACTGCTGTACTTTTATTTTCATTCAGTGCAGTTCAAGATATTTAAAATTTTCCCTTGAGTACTCTCTGACCCATGGGTTATTTAAGAAATGTGTTGTTTGATTTCCAAATACTTGGGAATTTCCTAGAAATCTTTCTGTTATTGATATCTAGTTTATTCTGTTGTGGTCTGATTCCATGCTTATATGGTTTCTTTTAAAGTCTTTGAGGTCTGTTTTAGGTCCAAAATGTAGTCTATCTTAATTAACAGATTTCCATGAGCACTTGAAAAGAGAGTGCCTTATACTGTTATTGGATGGAGTGTCCTGTAAGTATCAGTTTGACCTAGTTGGTGGACAGGATTTTTTTGTATGTGTGTGTGTGTGTGCCAGGAATTGAACCCAGGGGTGCTTAACCACTGAGCTACATCCTCAGCCCTTTTAAAAAATTTTATTTAGAGACTGGGTCTTGCTGAGTTGCTTAGGGCCTCACTATGTTACTGAAGCTGCCTTTGAACTCTTGATCCTCCTGCTTCAGTCTCCCAAGCCACTGGGATTACAGGCATGTGCCACCATACCAGCCAGGATTTTTTATATCATCATTGACTTTCTATTTTTATCAATTTACTGAGAAAAAATATTGAATTATCTACCTATAACAGAGGACTTGTTTATTTTTTCTTCTTTATTTTTAGCTCTATTATGTTTTCCCTTATGTATTTTGAAGCTTTTTTGTTGCATGCATACATGTTTAGAACTGTTTTATCTTTTTGAAGAATTTATCTCTTTGTTACTAGATACTACCCCCTTTATTTTTTTATAATATTCCTTGTTCTGAAATCTATGCTATCTGACACTAAAATAGTCACTCCAGCTTTCTTTTCCTTAGTGTCTGTGTGTTGTATAGATGTCTCCATACATTTGTTCTTAACATCTCCATGTCTTTATATTTTAAAGCAATGTACTTGTAGAGAGAAAATAGTTGGGTTATATTAATTATTGATAGACCTTTATCTTATTTATACTCGGTGCTGAGAATTGAACCCAGTGCCTCACACATACCAGGCAAGTGTGCACTGTTGAGCCCACCCTCAGCCCCTAGGGTTCTATTTTTTAAGTCCAGTCTGACAATTTCTGATTTTCAACTGGTGCATTTAGAGGGACTGTCCATATATAATATGATTATTGCTGCATACTATTGCCGAGCACTGTGTGTTCCGTTTGTTCTTTCTTTTTTTCTGCCTTCTCTTTTTATTGCTATTTTTTATGATTTCATTTTATAACCACCATTATTTTATGAATATTTTAGTCAGCTTTTTTGCTGCTGTGACTAGAGGGCTCACAGATTCAGGGATCTTAGTCCATAAAAGGCTGGCTCCATTCCTTGGGGCTGGAGGTGAGGCAGAACATCAAGGCAGAAGAGTATGTGAGCGGGAAGCAGCTCACATCATAATCAGAAGGAAAGAGAGAGAGAGAGAGAGAGAGAGAAAGAGAGAGAGAGACTCCACTCTCCACTTACAAATATATATATATACCCCATAGCCAAACCCCCAATGAGCCACTTCCTCCAGCCACAGCCCACCTGCCTCCAGTTACCACTCAGTTAATCCCATCAGGGATTAATTTATTGATTAGGTTAAGGTTGTGACCTAATCATTTCTCCTCCAAACCTTCTTGCATTGTCTCACACGTGAGCTTTTGGGGGACACCTCATCTAAACCTAAAAATGAATACATTGCATATTTAGAATATATAATAATATACTGCTTCCTATGTAGTGAGACAGCCTTACAAAAGATCCTCCCAGTTTCTCCCTCCTGATTTTTCTGCTATTGTTATCACACATTTTCTTTTTATATATACTATAAACCCACAAATATTGCTATTATTTTCTTTAGACAATCAGTTATCTATTAGAGAAATTAAAATCTTTGAGAAATTAAAATCTTAACAAATGAATTCCATATTGCTTTCCTTTATTTTATTTCCAGTAGTCTTTATTTCTTGGTAGAGAGCTTGGTTTTAGTCTGATACCACAGACTTCTTCTTAAAGTAATTTCAAAGTTTATCAAAGTGTTTTTTTTTTCAACAAAGTGTTTTTTGGAGGGATGGACAGATAATGGGCACAGAAATGATTCTATTTCTTTCTTTCTTTTCTTTTCTTTTTTTTTCCTGACCAAAGAGAATTTATTATCTCCATCAGAGGAATGCCACAAAGAATTGCAAGTCATAAAATAAGAAGAGCCTTAAGGACTATCGTCCACCTCTCTCCCACATAGATTGAGCAACTCAGACAGGTAACATACCTGTCTCAGTTTTTGATCCCAAGTTTGAGACAGTGCTGATTTAACATCGATGGGTCCTTTCCTGCAGACCTGTTTGACTCTATTTCTTAGTTGGCATCTTTATGAACATTATTTTTGTAATACATATTTTAAATTTTATAAAAAGCAAAACAAAAATCTCATTAAAATGTTCACTAAGTTTCATTCAATTGGTGTCTGATGAAATATGAGAGACAAAGGTGAAGTTGAGTCAAAGATGACCAGGAGGGGGAAAAAAAAAAGAAAAAAATGTGCATTGGAGATCATGATAATAAAAGTATTTATCATTCTTATGTATTTTGAAAAAGTCTGTACATGTGGTAAATTTACATAGAACTATCACATGAAAACACACAACTAAGCAAATATTAAAACTGTTGAGGGGCTGGTGTTGTGGCTGAGAGGGAGAGTGCTCGCCTGAGGCACTGGGTTCAATCCTCAGCACCACATAAAAATAAAATAAAGGTATTATGTCCACCTATAACTAAAAACAAATAAATAGTTTGAAAACTGTTGAAATCTGAATAAAGCCTGTAGATTCTAGCAATGTCGATTTCTTGGTTTTGATATTGTACTACAAGAGATATAAGATGCTGTTATTCAAGGAAGCTAAATGATGAATACCCAGAACCTTTCTACATCATTTTTTAAACTTTCTGAGGGTCTATTGTGATTTTAAAATAAAAGGCTTTCTAAAATTATCATATTATTTAAAAAAAAAAGGTAACTAGGAGGACTTGAACCTGGTTGTCCTAGAGTATTGTGGTGACAGAGACAGTTAAGACTTCAGGAGCAAGAGCCTACAGGGAAGACATTGATTATAGAGAATGTCTGACAACTCAGATATGACAGGACTTGGTTAGGAACCCCCAGGGGCTCAGAAGGCTGACCCAGGACTGGATGATGAGGGGCATTGGACCTATGGACAGGAGAGGAGTTCAAATGGGTCCCCTCACCTGCATGGACAGCCCAGAAGAGAATGGAGTTGGGGCTTCAGGTGGATGAGTTGGGACAGGCAGAACCTAGTTGCAGAGGAGGACAACTCTGAGGAGGGGGCTGTGCCATCTGGGAGTGCACCTGGGTTTAGGTGAGGTTAACAGGAATTTGCTACCCTGAGAGCAAGGAGAAGGTGTGGGAAGAACTGAGCAAAGGAACCTTGAGGAGCAGCCCCAGTATGAGGTGGGAGTAGGAGGCAGTGGAGATGGTGCAGAAGCCTCACTTTGGTGAGGCTCAACAGAGAAGTAGTGAGGAGCAGGCCAATGCTCCAATAAAGTGACTCGAACTCTGTCTCACCCAAGTTGTCATCTTTTTTGTGGTAGTGGGGAATGAACCCATGGGTCCTCGAACACTGAGCCACATTCCCACTCCTTTTTTCAATTTTATTTTGAGACAAGTTCTCACTAAATTGCCCAGACTGACTTCCAACTCGAGGTCCTCCTGCCTCAGCCCCCCAAGTAGCTAGGATTACAGGTGTGTGCTACCACATCCAGCCCAAGGTTTTTTGATGACAAATATTTTGTAACACTCTTTCACCATCCTGAAATAAAATTAACAGCAATTATAACCTACTTATACATATTAAGTTTTTTAAAAAAAATAGGCACACTGTTCCAACTGTAGTATAAAAGGAAAAGGCATAAAATAATATGTATGCCAATATGTAAATGATTGATTGTGACTCCACTAGAGGTCATGAAATACAATCAAGAGCTTGTACCCAAAATGCAGAAGGAACAAAATGGACTTGTAAAGGTGAATTGAACTGGTTACTCAAAAACAGTTAAGCTCCACTGCACATTGATAATGGGGTTTAAAATAGTCAAGATAGGGTAGCATTATTGTGAAGTGAATAAAATGCCTGGGTTAGCCTGTTCCACTGGGGCCTGAGGGGGCAGATGGGAGGGGCAGATCCCATCACAGGGTCCCTACTGTGTGTGGCGCCACCTAGTGGCATCTTTTATTCTGCTTATGTAGTATTGTGAAAAAATCAGAGTCTGAGTGAGGCTGGCTAGGATCTCCAGAAGAGGCACTGGATTCCAGCAGTCTCTGGTTGCTTGGCGCCTATTTCCTTGGCCTGATCTGGGGAAAAGGATGGGGAGAATATGGACCGACAGGAGAGGAGAGGCCTCCACCTGCAAGACTGGTTGTCCTCCTTTCCTGGAAGATTTTGCCTTTCCCTTCAAGACCTGCTCAGTGAATTCCAACTAAGATGAGGGTTTGGGATCCAAATCTGCTTATTAGATAGATTATACTGTACTAAATACAACTTTGTTATGATTTTCTCAACTGTGAACAAACGTGGTCAAGTGTCAAAGAAAACAAAATATTGTCTCCCTTCAATGTATATGGTGGTTACATTCCTGGAAAAATTTAGTATATATTAAAACTGAGGGTGAGAGTTGGCTGGGAGATCTTTGGCTTACTTCAGAATTACCATCTAGACTTGAGTAGTTGCAAACAGATTTACACTTACTAGAATGCTTCCAGTGGCATAAAAAAAAAAAATCATTTAGGGTGCTGGGTAACTTGTTCTCCATAGGACTTCTGGCATCATGGGCCTGGCCTACAAGATGCTTTAGTGGCCTCCAACTATGGCAACTCCCCAAACACCTCTCATCAATTAAAAAATTCCAAACAACTCTAAAAGCAGATTATGCCCCTCTAAAACTCATTGACTTAGAATCAGACTTGGACAACATTAATAACCTGGTCGAATATCTCAGTCTACTGACAGAAATCTGAGTTGAGAGAGGGACTAGACAGAGTCTTTACAAATGTATTTAAAGTACAAAAGGGACACAGGAACGATACGATAAATAGAACAACAAGAGAGGGAGAGAGGCAATTTCAAAGCACAAAGGGAAAAGGAGGTGTGTTGAGATTCCACACAGGCATCCACACATCCTTGGGGACACATCTTCATATCTGAAAAGGACTGGGTGTGGTGGCATATGCCTATAATCCCAGCTACTCAGGAGGCTGAAGCAGAAAGATTGCAAGTTCAAGACCAGCAGAGGCAATTTAGTAAGACCCTGTCTCAGAAATTTAAAAAAAAAAAAATATATATATATATATATATATATAAATATATATATATAAAGGGCTGGGGGTATAACTCAATGATAGAGCCCCCTTGGGTTCAATCCCCAGTACTACAAAAAAAATTTTTAAAAAACTTGAAAATAATCTTGTGAAACATAATTCTATTTTACACAACACATAGTATGTGTTGGAATTTGTTCTATTGGGGAAGTTAAAGGCAATAAAAATAATGCAATATAAAAAATAAAAATTCTCAAGAAAGATTTATGTTATTCTTCCAAACCACATTTTAATAACAGTCTTAAGGAGTATTAACAGAAGTTTCAATAGGGAAAAAGCACTCTCAGTTCAAGTAGGTTTGGGCAGTGCTACGTGAGACCATGAAAATGCTCTCCTTAGACATCAGCTGTGGGGAGGACTCACTGGCTGCCTCTGGACCCACCACTGATTTGGGACCACTGAAACTCAGCTAACCACTGCTGCTCCCACCAGCCATTGAATGCAATGGGCTAGGGGACAACAGACTCGTATCAGTTGAGGGCTCTTTACCAGTCTGGCCAAAACCTTCTTAGACCTGAAGCTGCGGCCTGAGACTCGTCCCACACTGCCTCCCCACTGACAAAGCCAGAGGAGGCACGAGCCTCAGTGATCCAGCCCATAGAGATCTGCACCCGTCAGAAAGGATGGAGGGTGGTGGAATGGGATCTAGCCTGGCCTGGACAGTGAGGTTCAGACAGATATCCAGCATGACACCAAAGAACTTGGTTTGGCTTGGACACATTAGGTAACATTTTTTTACTTTAAAGGTTAGAAACAGTGAACTGGTGGCTTTCTCATTCACTGGCTCGGGAGAGTGAAGTGTTACGAAGCTGTCATTGAATGGGTTCTCCTTGTTTACAGTTCAACATGAGAATAGCTAATAGAGCCTAAAGCAAGAAGCAACTTTCTGGTGAAGACAGCATGAATCATACAAAGAAAACCAATAGATCTGGGGACAAAGAGTCCAAATAAGATCTGAGCAAAGCAGAAGCCTGGAAGTACAGGCGTCAGAACTCCAAGCTGAGTATTTACAGTTGGGTGACCATATTTATGCCTAAATCATCTACATCGCAAAATGTAGTCTTCATTTCAGGGCATGAATGTGGCCATTTTCAACCAATCCATTTCCTGTTCTCATAAACCTCCCAAAGAAAAGAGCCTTAATGTGTACTGATATAGAAAAAAAATGTATAAACTGGGTTCTTAAACTCACAGAGGAAAAATACTTGTTACCAGTATCCCTTATAAAATTGTTTTAACAAAGTCTATTTATATTCTCATGGATTACATGTTATAATGAACAAAAGCCCACTCATCATTTCCTCATCCTTAGCCTATTTATTCCAGAGAAATAGGCAAGAATAACTAGTTTTCCTTTAAAAAATATTGGGCTAGGGGTGTAGCTCAGTGGTAGAGCACTTGCCTAGCATATATGAAACCTTGGGTTTGATCCCAAGCAGTGTGAAGCGGGGGAGAGATTTACTATCCCACATGTTCTCCAAGAAGGGTTCTCTCCTTGGTCATGTGTTGTTTGCTGAGTACCTCAGCAAGCTGGTATGTCTCATCCTTATGCAGGAGCTGGGAGAGCTGGATTTCCCTGCATGGTAGGAAGAAGAGTTTGGAGTCAGGAGATGATCTGGGAGAAGGAATAGGAAGCAAGTGGAGGGAGGAGGAAAACCATCAGGAGGGGAGAAGCCCTATTAGTTGACTTCTTGATTTTTAACAGAGTCCACAATATGCTTGGTATAGATTCCTTTAGCAGTTAAGGACAAGTCCTGAGCTCTGGAGGTTTGGGTATAAGACAGTGATGGTTGAGCTCTAAACACCTGTAATCACAGCTGCTGGGGAGACTGAGCAGGAAATCTCAAGTTTGAGGACAGCCTGGACAGTTTAGTGAGACTCTTGTCTTGAAATAAAAAATAAAAGGGGACGGCATGTAGCCCAGTGGTAGAAACCCCTGGGCTCATCCCCAGTACCCGGAGGGAGAAAATACTAAAACAGACAGTGAAGGCATGCGGTGGGTGGTGCCGGA